ACATTATTATAATTATTATTATTAAATATTTATTGCATGTAATTCAAATACAAAAACATGTACTGAAGACAGTCTTTTTCATTAAGGAAAATCTGATAAATGCAATAGTGTTGAGTAGTTAAAATGTCCTTCTGTTGCTGATAATCAGGTATTCTGCGCGTGCATTATAAGTCGTGTTTCTGCTCTGATACTGTCGTTCTTACCTGAGCTGTTTGCTTCCAGGTGATATACAGCACCATCTGCAGTCCATGTCCAACCTACTACGGCCAGAGGACACGCTTAAGATGGTAAGATAGTTGAGTTCTGGCATCGCTGTTAGATCGCCTTAGTTCAACATTGCGAGAGACCGGGGTATGTGTGAACAGACCTTGTTTGTGTAAACAGCAATGCAATGCAGGCTCGCAGAGTCCATGCATCTGTACCCTAGATGCATTTAATTCTCCCCCTCCCCCCTTCCCCGACCCCCACCTCTTGCCCGGCAGCACGCAGGATTGTCTGGTGACGGTGTGTGGTTTTTTTCTGGCAGCTCGCAGAGTCCATGGCATCTGTACCTAGATGCATTTAATTCTTCCCCCCCCCCATCTCTGCCCCAGCACCGAGTCTAGTGAGGGGTGTGGTGGTTTTTTCTGCAGGCTCACGGAGTCCATGTATCTGTACCCTAGATGGCATTTAATTCTCCCCCTCCCCCCTTCCCTGAACCCCCACCTCTGCGCAGCACGCGGAATTGTCTGGTGACGGGTGTGGTGTTTTTTCTGCAGGCTCACGGAGTCCATGTATCTGTACCCTATGGCATTTAATTCTCCCCCTCCTCCCTTCCCCGACCCCCCACTTCTGCCCCAGCACCGGGAATTGTCTGGTGACTGGTGTGGTGGTTTTTTCTGCAGGCTCACGGAGTCCATGTATCTGTACCCTAGATGGCATTTAATTCTCCCCCCCCCCCCCCCCGACCCACCACCTCTGCCCCAGCACCGGGAATTGTCTGGTGACGGGTGTGGTTGTTGTTTTTTGCTGCGAGTGCACCGTGTTGGCTGGGGGCAGATGTGCCGAAGAACGAAAAGTGAGATGAACTCGCTTTAGTCAGTGTTATCAGTTTATGCATCTCACGCGCACCCGGAATCTCGGTTATAAATGCGATCTGATTATTATCGTCGCAGAAAGGGGGAAGTTCTCTCTCTCGCACGTTCTCTGTGTGTGGGAGTGTTGGTTCGCTGATGTTTCGCTGCGGCGGCATACTTGCGACTCACGTTTTCGCCCCTCATTCATGGAGTAGGTCGTTGTTGCAATGCTGCTGCAGCATCTCCCGTGTCAATGGGGCGGGTTAAAGCATCCCCCCGTACCAAGCTACCAACTCATCCCCCTTATCTAGTATCCAACCTTCCCACCCTCACTCAGCACTGGTGCATATTTTTATTGGATTTCACTGTGTGTTGTGTGTGGCTGCCGTGCGTGCGTGCGTGCGTGCGTGCGTGCGTGCTGTGCGTGCGTGCGTGCGCGTGTGTAAAAATCAATATTTTTGAAATTATGACTAGCTTGGATTTTCAAGCTCATTTCCAAAATCGCTCTCACACTACCACCCAACAAACCAACCAACCAACGTCGTCCGCCCGATAAATCCCACTGCGTAACGCGCGCCCCACGCAGACTCTCGCGTAGTGTGAGGCTGACGATGCGGGCGTTACTGCCTGCAGGTGCGAAATTAACGCTGAGTCGGAGTCAAATACTCCCTGATTTATGTCGCGACTCCCTGACATATGCGGGGAGTCCGTGCTGACTCACTGGAAAATTCCGCTATTACTACTATAGTTTCGTTCGCAGAGCAGCGGCTGTCGCTAAAAATCATTAGCCATATATTTTTTTTAGGCAATGACCCAAGCAAAATTTTGGCAAGACATGCACCACAAATGTCCTTATTTGTGTTAATATCGCAGTACTACTTGCTATACTTGTGGATTCCCTCATTGATGTGCGATTCCTCATTTTTGCTCGGCGACCTCCCGCTCATCTTTGATGCGGACTCCCTCATTTTTGCGTGCGGACTCCTCAGTTTTGATTGCGGACTCCTCTTTTTGGCTGCGGACTCCCTCATTTGCTGCAGACTCCCTCTTTTTGCTGCGCGGACTGCCTCTTTTTGCTGAGGGGCGACTCGCAATCATTATGCTGCGCGGACTCCGCTCTTTTTGATGGTAGGCGAGTCTGTTGGACTCGCCTTCGTTCATAAAGTTAATTTCATCACCGGCGGGCTGCTGGCAGCGGCCCGTGGAGCAACCAACCAACCAACCAACCAACTAAGCGCAACCAACCAACCAACCAACCAACCAACCAACCCAACTCGCCCCCTAAAACCCTCGCTGATAAATCCCACTCGTAACGAACTCGCGTGTGTGCGCTGACGAGCGCGTCGTTACTGCTGCAGTGGTAGGCGCGTGAGCTAGAGACGTAGGAACGACGGCGACGACAACGCTACCATGCTGCTGATCACAAACAGTGGGCAGCAGAACATGGAAGCAATGCGCTGCCATCGTGGGGCTGGACTTCAACGAAGCAACGATTCACCATCGCCTCTGCGTGCTGGCCGATATTCGCGCGGACGACGAGATCATGCTCATGGCCGAACGGCCGTGCGGCGTAGATACGTTCTCTTGTTATTTTTCTTGAACTATAGTGTTTCGCGTACTTTTTCTGTGTCTCTTCTGTGCCACACTTTGTCTCTATCTCTGTCTCTCTACCCTCTCTTCTCTGCTCCTTCTTCTCTCTTTCTCTCTCTCTCTCTCTCTCTCTCTCTCTCTCTCTCTCTCTCTCCTCTCTCTCTTTCTCTCTCGCAGCATGCACCTTTCCGCTTGCACTCTTCATGGCGTTTAAATCTGCTGTTATTCATCTCTTGACCTGTTTACTGTCTTTCCTTTTCGGTTCGCCCACTTAAATCATCGTCTATATCCTTTCACACTCCGCCCTTACTGGCTGTCTTGTATTTCATTACATGTAAAAAATAGCCGAACACGCGCACAACGTCGCATCGCATATAACCAGTATCTCATCTATAATCA